GACCATAGGATTAAGGACTTGCCCGAAACGCTGCGCGTACTAGTGGCTGTACAAGAATGTAACAACTCTTGTATATATCTCAAAAAAAAAAATATGATTTTTTTATTGTTGCCGCCGAAGGCGGCTAGTTTATTGTGCACCCCATACTCATCCTGTGAGCGGTAGCGCAAAAGCATTACAGAGGGCACAAAAGGTCTTTATCAGACCTCATCTTAGATTATTACATAAACAATTTCATCTATCCTTCACACCTTATAGTTACAATGTCAGCTAGTTACAGAGAAAGTGCTATTACAAGAGCTACATATTTACAGTAAGTCATCATACATTAATGGTAGGTCTTAACGCTAATACATAATAGTTTGACCAATGGGAATATTACAGAGTCATAGGGGAGCGTCTGTTTATTATTAGTCCTCACAATACACTACTTGTTTCTGAATCTCATATGTCGTTCAGCTACTGGAAGCGAAATGTGGGTACAGTGCAAGGATTTCAGGTAATTTGTCCATGGTAATAAGATAGGTTGCCATATCACACAGAGTGAGCTTAGATTTATCTCTAAAAGGCTCAAGTTTACTACAATCCAAGATATAGTGTTCGAGTGTATGTCCCTGTCTTTGTCCACACACTTTACTTCATCTAGATCCCTATACAAGCCGAACTGCCAGAGATACTTGTAGCCAAGTCTTATATGAGCTGTAACAACATCTGTTAGTCTACTGACTTTGTTACTTGCCCCATACACATGTTTTACTTCACACATTTCATTGTGATGGACAATGGACCTGCTAGTTCCAGTTTGCACTGTTCTACTTTCTTCAAATTCATCCAGGAGTTCTCGTCTAATGACACTTTTAAGGGACCTATTTGATAACTCAAGATTCCGTTCAATGCTGTCTTTATTTACTGCAGCCTTAGCAAGGGCGTCAACTTTGTCATGTTCCTGCATGCCAATGTGAGAAGGAATCCACCACATTTTTATATTTACCCTCTTGCTAAGTATTCTTATATATCTACGTCTAGCTTCCAAGACAAGCACGTTATTACTTGATTGCAAACTGTTTATTGCTCGTAGTGAGGAAAGGGAGTCGGAAATAATTAAGCTGTCTACTTCAGTGTTTTCAATAATTTCGAATGCTACCAGTATCGCTACCAACTCGGCTTGCATTGTGGACGCCCAGTTACTAACTCGGATATTTCTTTGAATTGTGCTGCCATCGGGCTGATGAACAATAACAGCACTTCCTGCCCTCCCTGTAGTGAGGGCAGTGTATTGAGTGATCCGTCAGTGTATATGGTCTGTGCAATGTTGTTTTTAGCTTGTAAATTGTGAATGTGTTCTATGGTGCTTAATTTAGCAGCAAGCTGAGCATGAGGGTTGTTTGTGATTAGTTTCTTGGTGGGGTATGCAGGGGTCAGGATGTCAAAAGGTACTATCTGCCAGGGTGGAAGGAAGTGCTGTACTCTTTCATCTGTATATACATCGTGCAGTCCCATCATTTTAATATGAGTGGCTGTTCTTTGAATCCATTTAGACTCGCTAGTTCCATTTCGTATGTGTTCTAACAGTGCAACTGACACAATGTTGTTTTTGTTATCACGCAGAAGCTTTAGTCCCATCATAAGATTAATTTCAAATATTCTATCTCTAATGCTAAGTATATTTAATTCTTTCCGCATGTTGAGAACTTTGGTAGTTATAGGACAACCAAGAATAATTCTGAGTGCTTCATTTTGCATTTTTTCCAGTCTATCAATACTTTTGCCATTTTGCAGGACCAAAGCTGGTGCATGATAGTCTATCAGAGACCTTATATACGCTAAATACATCATTCTTGCTATTCTAATATTAACACCATATTTCGGGCTGTACCCCACTACAGTTCTGAGAGCCTTGAGTCTGTCTCTACATTGTTGATGTAACTTATTGACTGCAGTTGAGGTACAAGGGACAGAGACACCAAGGTATTTGAAAGAAGAGACATAGTCTATTGGTATGTTATCTATCTTAAGTTTTCGTGGTCCACTTTTGCGGTTGCCAATTTGTCTGTTAAATACCTTAGTTTTAGCAGCGTTGATTACAAGACCAAGGCTCTCACAAGCTGTATGTATACAATTTAAGACTTTGCATTTCGCGGTGGGTTTTAGTATGCACAAGGATGTCATCTGCATAGCTGATAGTGATGTTTGCCAGACTAGTTGGGATTGTGTTTAGTAAAGCATTAATTAGAACATTAAACAAGGTAGGACTAAGTACTCCTCCTTGTGGGGTGCCTAGTTGCATTACTTTAGTTTCACTCCTGTAGCCTTGGAACAGTGCAGAGGACTTCCGGTTGGTAAGATAGCCTCGTATCCATTGTAATAAATGTTCCCCTATATCCATTCTCGCTAATTCATACATAATCACTTCCCTATTAGCAATATCAAAGGCATTTTTTAAATCAAGAAATGTTGTGTACTTGTGCCTTTTATCTCCATGAACAGTAAGAAAGGTTGTGATACAGTTGTGTACACTTTTACCATGTGTGAAACCATTGATATTAGGTGACATGTGCTCTTTAACTCTATACAATAATCTATTAAGCACCATTCTCTCAAAGGTTTTGCACATGCAACTGGTCAGTGAGATGGGACGGAAAGCATCAGGTTGGCCAGGCTTTGGTATAGGTACCGTAAGACTGGTGGTCCATGATACTGGCAACTGCCCAGTGACATAACTGGCATTAAACAATTCTAATAGAAAACAGCTCGGAAACTAAGGAAATAAAGCTGCCGAAAAAACATTAAGTCCATTTCAAGTTCAAGTATGTTTATTGTCGGTTCGTTCATGCTAGGCTTGCAGTTACACAATTGGTCGGGGTCCGCTTACACAACTGGTCGGGGTTCGGGGTGCACAATAAACCACCACTCACTGGATGAATAGGGGATGCTTAATGAACTAAAGCAGAACGCTTTGAAAGAGACCAATGTCGTCTTTGCCTTCAAATGCCCACTTGGGGACTGTAAGCCTCAAAGAACTCAGTATATAGGCAAGACAACAACATCTCTTTCCAGACGATTAACGATGCACAAGCAACAGGGCTCCATTAAGGAACATATAATCTCTTCCCAAAACCAGACCATCACCAGAGAAGTCTTAACAAAAAACACGGAAATCATCGATAGATACAGCGATAGCAGGCGGCTTGATATCTGCGAGGCACTACACATTAAGAAGTCAACACCAGCAATCAACAGCCAATTAATGCACAACTATATTCTACCCACTTCAAGACTCCGCACCAATATAGAAGCATCAAGAAATATGGGCCAATAGGCCCTTTGCATTTACTTCCATTCTTCCCCTTTAACTTTACCTAATATTTCGTGTTCTATCTTGTGTTGAAAGTTTGTTTTCACCTCATCCAAAACTGTTGTAACATATCACCTCACCCAGCTGCAGGTATATAAAATGAAATGCCGTTTGAATTATAGCATAGTAAGAAATCTGTTTAGTGTTTGCAGGTTATAGTTGTGTGTGTGTAAACTAAAGTCTTTGAAAATGTAATAAGTTATTACGAAACGCGTTCAAATAAATAGAAATAATATTAATAAAACAATTAACATCGTGTAGTGTACTCTATATATCAAAATATATTACTTTGAAACCCATATCATTCACTAAAAAAATTGGGCCACTCTAATTACAAATTCGCTACTTTTAGACAGTCAGCTCGCTACTTTCAGCAATTTAGATCTGGCAACCCTGTTACCTGGCACAGGAGCGGGGCAAGTTGCACGGGCTACGGTGAGCCCGTGGTGGACTTACCTGGCACAGGAGCGGGGCAAGTTGCACGGGCTACGGTGAGCCCGTGGTGGACTTACCTGGCACAGGAGCGGTGCTAAATGTGCTGTGAACACAGAGTAGATAAAAAATTAGCTATAAGTTCATCTAGTCACACATGGAGTCAAGAGAGAACATAAAATGCCAGGCTGATCTACCATTTGGTCTGGTCACTTAGAAGCCATAAATCTCAAAACTGTTGAATTTTGAAATCCCGCTAGAAAAAAAATCAGTACAAATGGGGAAAAGGGGGGGGGGGCTTTGACAAGCCGCAGACTTCCTGTCCTCGTTGAGACCACTGTGTTAGTAGCCCTCAGTTGTTTTAGCTTCAGCTACAAAAGTTCCAAGTTTTTGCCGGAAACCCCACGCATGTTAGTGACTTTGCAAGAATGTCAAAATATCACTTTAATGTAATCGCACCTACCCATTGTACTTTCTTGTAAATAAAATATTATTACCTGAAATTGAAATAAGTTTATTGAGGTAAAATACACACAAAGGGATGAGGTAGCTCAAGCTATCCTCACCCCATTCAGTACATCGTGTTAATATATACATAGACACACATCACAAACAATAAACATATTACCGAACATTCTGAGAGATAAACATATACATTTCCTCCATTACTACCTATATTATTATAAAGTAGCATTTTGGTGTGCCCGTAGTTGGCTTACCTGCCACACCAGCGGAACAGCTTAATTCCTCTTCTCTACAAACTATTTATTAATTATGTATATTATATTACGTACCAATGTTATGTTATATTACAAACCCAATGTACCTTCATGTATATAAATACATGAATTTCTACAAATATTTCCTGCCTGAAACGCTTTGGGTAATAGTGGCCTTAGGCATTGTATGTACTAGCTCTATCTATAAATCTAACAATTTTTGTATCACCTCTTGTACGTATGTACTTTACCCGAATAAACTTTTGAATTTGAATATATAAATAAAAAAATAATAAATATAAATCTCTATATTCGATAAGGATGATAACAATAATCCCGTTGAAAATTCAAGGTAAAATCATAATTAAAACGGCTTAAAATTCTAATACCTTCAACGAATATTTTAAAACAACTTGTATATATAATTAAACTATAGAAATATAGCTTTGAGGGCTGTAAGGAGGTGTAAAACCCCCCCCCCCACCACGGGCTTTACACAAAGGGTGGCTTTCACCGTCTAATTGTTGTGGTAACGCAGAGCGGCCCGACGCCCACTCCTGCACACACTACTATTATACCAGGGCGAGTGTCTTAGTACTGCTGTGTGAGGGCTGAGTATGTTGGTGATAGTGTTAGTGGAGGCCTCCAGGCAAGGTGAGAGCCGACTAGTTGTGTGGCTACCTAACGCGAGCCACATTTTGGAAGGGGAACGCTGGCGGCAACTACAATGTTGAAGGATGTGCTTAAACACGCAGGTGTTTCTTTCAGAGAAGAGGGGCGCCCTCTGCTCCCTAGTGCCAGGGGATTGTCAAAGCGAGGGGGTCTTGTTCGTATCAATTCTTATTAAGCCATGCCAGTGTTTAGTTCATTGTTATGGGCCCCCATTCCCATCCTGCGGGCGGCGTGTGCGGAAAGGGCTCACCGGGCCATCCAAACGCACATTGTTTGGGGCCTGGTGAACTGAACCGCAGTATTCATTTACTTGGCAAGTTAGTCTTGATAAGCTAGTTACAGTCTAATGTGTGTATCTACAATGGGTTTGAAACCAACCACAAGTACAGTCTAATCTATTGAACACTTGGCTTGGTGACTGTATAGCTTGAAAACTTACATTTGCAGTGATCCAGTTTCATAATATGATTTGCCACTGTCTTCATATGGGCAAAGGAATATTAGAAACGTCTTTTATTTGTCATTAAATTGCATTTAGTACCAGTTTCACTTAATGGTAGGGCTCACATAAAGGTGTTCAAAGTTTTAACATAATTTTATCAAGTTAAATATCTAACCTAACTACTGTATTTAGGTTTAGTCAATAATGTAATATGGACACCAAGATGGTAATCTGAGGAACGTGTTGTTGCAGGTACACTTGGGTAATTATACTTGGGTAATTACAGTAGTTTATCACATAAGGCCATGAGAAATTGAATAATATATTTGCACTCGTCCTAGTTTATGGCTAACTGTGGTGTCGCACATAATTCTTGGGTAATGTGAGGGTTGAGCACATGCTTGCTGTCTTTCTGGTAGGGCAAGTCTTTTTGTAGTTTCCTTTCACCTGATGCCTCTGTTTATCTACCACTAAATAAGCATATACAGCCCATTGCATTACCGGTGCATGCTGCTTCAGTCTACACTCGTTACACCATCATGGTATCGTTGTGTCTAGTGTGTAGTAATTATTACTCCACTATTTAAATCTTGAAAAAATACTGGCCCTGGAGTACATTTTTTTGTTATGCAATTTGAACATCTAGTTCTAAATGCAGTCTATAATAAACATATTGTACTGTGCTAGTTATATATACTTTGCTCTCACCTTGTGGTCTTAAGTGCTGGCAATGTCTTAATACTGGATGAAGATAAGAGATATTAGACATCATACAGTTTATACAAATTAAAGTGCATTTATATTTCAACAGTGCTCTTACTCTCGGTGGACCAAACTTTATATAATAACTATGTATCTATCCACGAGCTTTCCAGAGCTTTGTTGATAACAAATTGTATAAAACTTATATAAACAATTCCTGATGCATTTAAGTTTGTAAGATTAGTAGACTTCTAGAGGGAAGAGTAACATCTTTTTGCTGGGATGAGGAAACTACACATAGAATTAGACTTACCATTTTTGACCGAATCACAATTCTCTTTTAAGAATTCTAGAATCATAAGGTTAATAAAGCAATTGCCTTTCTGTTTACAGGTGAATGTTAATTAAGTCACAATGGCAGAGGGGCTGCTATCCTTGTCATGGAACAACCACAGCTCTACGTTCTGCCACATGCTTTCCTCATTACGTGATATGGTATGTCAGTTTATGCTGATTTGATATGTGAAGTAATACTTCAATTGGTACTGTATTAATGGCTAATAATAATTTATGTACTGTACTGTAGTATAGTATAATACTGTATAGAATATAAATTTTCTCAAATCATATAACAGGAAATTGTTCTACTTTTATATTAGTATTTTCCTTATTTTTTGTTCATTTTGAAAAGTATATACAGTATCTATACCGGATATTTACTCTTACTCGTATGTATATAGTTATTGTGTGGCTTCTTAAAATTATGTAGCTCCCAAAAGGATTCTCGGTGGTTTTTGCTTGACGGTTTGTTTACAAACCATTGTGGTCCCTATGTGACATCTGGAGACTGCATTTGGCATTAGCTTGAAACTTTCTATACTTCAGCTGTTTGATGGTGCAAGGAAGATCCTATTGTTTTAAGGCCATCTTGCCTCCTGATGACAGATTAAAGAAATATTTTAAAAATCACTATGGAGGTGGGAGAGAGATTTGGAGATTTCTTGTAGGCAAATTAGTGTAGTTATTAAAGCAGAAATTCTATGCCCGTTGTAATTTCAATGAGTATTGACAATTGTCTTGGTTTCAAATGATACCTATGAATTTTAGTAAAAAAATATGTTGATCAAATGAATTATTTTTTTAGCATAAAACCATTTCACTCTCCCTATGCCATGGGTCCTTGACTGAGTGTATCCATACCTGATGGGGTATGGAGTAAGCTGCAGCTGGACCTAGATGTTATTTGACCCTCTTGGGTCAGATATTTTGCTATTTTTTTGGACACGTGATTTCAATCCCTATTTTGTATTTTATATCCGGTGGCATTCTTTATTTGTTAATCCTTGTACTAATGTGCATTGCACTAAGTGTTTTTTCTAGTTTCTTTAGAATGTGTTCTGATTTGGTCCACTGAAGGTGTGCTTGATGTTATCTTAGGTTGACATCTTTCTTTCAGGGATTTTGGATGCCCACGTTAGTTTCTTTTTTCTTTCAGCAGGCTTTCTATAAAATGGCTTCCTCAGCTAATGGAGTAAAGTGCCGTGGTAAAACTACTGCTCTCCTTCTATGTTTTCCCTGTGCTTGGTTCTTTGTTTCTCTTAGCCTAAGATTTAGATGAAATGTGGGAATGTTGAGCTTAAATACTTTGATGTTAATTGTATTATCTGGCCTCGTGGCAGTCTGTGGTAGTGACTTAGTGGGTGGTTAGGTAGGTTAAACAGAATGTAGGTTGGTTCTGTTTCAAAGTGTTGCACCTGGATAGGTTGTTTAAGCACCTTTCTGTCTATATTAAAGTTTGGATTTGATATTCTCCAGTCTCTCTTGACACTAGAGTATGACTTGACAAGGATGGTTTGTAGAGTTCAGTCATGCCAGTGTAGGATGTCAACAGGGTCGCAGGGACATTGATCCTTGGAACTACTTCAAGGTAACCCTGACTGGCAGAACTTAACCAAAAGTGCAAAGGATATTGCCTTCTGAAGCCACCAAGTGCACCACTCGTATACCTAGATGTGATGGCCTAGGAATCTCTCTTGGTTGGCTAAAATCAAATCATTTCTAATTTTCATCTCGACTGCTGAAGCATTTCTTATCTATGCAAGTTAAATGAGTTTATACAATATAGTAGTAGCAGAATCTTTATGTATCTTTATTTTATTACACTGCATGAATAAAGATTTTTTTTTCATTTAGCAAATCTGCATGTAATGGCTTAATTAAGTTTTCTTCATGTTTCAGGAGAGATACACAGACGTAACAATTGCTTGTGAAGGAAAGTTCTATTCGGCACACAAATTAGTTCTTTCAACATGTAGTGATTACTTCCTTAAAATGTTTGAGAGAACTCCCTGTAAGCACCCAATCATTGTGGTCAAAGATGTGGAGTGTAAAGACATTGAAGCCCTTCTTAGTTATATGTATGCTGGCGTTGTTAGTGTGGCTCAGAATGACTTAACCCAATTGATCAAGGCTGCAGAGTTATTACAAATTAAAGGACTGGCTGTTCCTGATGAGCCTCCCATCACCAGCAAAAAAGCAGCCCATGTGCGAAGTTCGACTGATGATAGAAGCAGTCCTCATCCAAAGAGACAAAGACGAGAAGAGAATAGGAGTCCGTCCCGGAGTGAGGGGCAAAGTTTACGTTCCAATGCCCCTTCACCTCGTTCCTCCCCATTTAGTAGTAAGGACAGTGAATACTCGCAAGAACAAGTGGCTACAAATAGGCACCACAGTAAAGCAAACCAAAGGATAGAGCAAAAACAAGACCAAAAATTAGAGAGAAGAGGAGATAGGACTTCAACAGAGCAGCAGTCAGAACAGCACACAGATCAGGAAGTGGAACAGAGAGTAGAGTGTCGGCCAGTTACAAAGGAATCTCCAGAGGCTGAAGCTGAGGTATGTGTATAACATGTTATCAGTTTCCTGTGGGATATCCATAAAATCTAACTTGGATTTAAAATTCATTTTAGTGTACAATACAGGTGAACCTCGACAATTTGAACATGGCTTGAACCATGTTCCAACCATGGCTTGTCTGTTTGATGTTTGGTCCTGAATGCCAACCTTTCTACCTGCTTACCAGTGAACATATTGCATTGTTTTACTACTGTAATATTTTAATTGTTCACAATGCAATGCCATCAGCCTTGGATTTTTTACATTATAGTGGAAGGCAATTCCTTGCACTTATCCTGGCCCCAGAAAACTGTGTGAAATGTAAATGAGTAATAAATGAGGAACAAAAGAAGCTGGAAGTAGTAAAAATTTGTAAGGAATGTAAGCGTTATGTTATAAATTTGAGACATAGGTTATAATGAAGAGTGAAATAGAGTAATACTGCAAGTACTGTATTAGAGTGAAAGAAACTGTTCAGTACTGTATTGTGTTGAATAGTGTATTTTTAACACGTGTAAGGATCATGCACATTACCAAAACAAATTTATATATAAAGTTATGAATACCCTATGTTCAGTTTATGAAAATACAGGGAAAAACAAGCACTTTTCACAATAAAGTATCTTATAGTTGCATTATATGCTTTCTACAGTATGAATACTTTTGTACATACTGTACCAATCCAAATTGTGTAAAATATTTTGTAATGGCATACAAATTGATAAATAATTCATTAGGTTGGAAAATCAGCAGTGAAGATGTGATAATTTCTTCATGTCTACTGTATATGAAGAGGAATACTCTTACACCTTTTAGCAATTAAGAATGAGTATACAATACTGAGAAAATCAGGAGGAGCCATGAGGAGGATTCAAAACTATGTTCTGGGTACTCCCAAGCAACAAACACCCTGGACAACTACACCACAACATGGTCAAAAGAATTGCAACCTGGGATTCAACTGAATCCTCTAGGAATTCCCACCCCCCCCCCATTTCATTCCAAATCCTTATCCTGACCCCCCTTCTAAGTGCTATAGTCATGATGGCTTGGCACTTTTCCCTGATAATTCCCTTCCTCCCTCCTGATGTGTCTACTGAAGCTGAACTAGGGTTTCACACACTTTCCTCATGCTCTCTGGCTTTGTAGTCTAGGAATTCTGCCTCCGTTTCTCCAGCGTAACGCTTGACCATGTTGTGTTGTAGGTGTCTGGGGTGTTTGCTTGGGAGTACCCAGAGCAAAGTCTTAAATCCTCCTCACAGGTTCTAATGATTTTTGCATTGATACAGCACGTTATTGTGATTTCTTTCTGGAATGAGTATACTGTATTACTATTTTTATGACAAATAATTTAAATGTGAATTGTTCTATTTAAGGTTGTGGATGAATCGGTGATTAAAGAAGAAATGGTAGAAGGGGAAAGTGAGGGCGAGTTGCCAGAATCGGGGTTTGACTACAGGGCGCTAGTTTCTAATCTTGGAGTTGATGGCTGTGGGATGACGAAAGATCATTCAAACCCTTTGTCTTCCCCTTACAATCATCCACCTGATGACCAGTCTTTTGACTCCCAGGCAGGGCCTTCAGGATTACAAGGGGTAATTGTTTTTATTGCTTCTGTATCTCTGGTTAATAATACAAAGAATATTACAATATTGTAGTTTGTTGTTAAAGTACAGTACTGTACTGCAGTTTGATTTGATGTGTAATTTTTTATTACTCGTGTGTTTATTTTGAAAAGTGGTTAAAATCTTTTGTACACTGTATTGAGCAACTTCACTCATCTGACTGATTACATGCTAACATACTGTAGGTGTGGGTAAAGGGAGCCTAACAGCTGAGTGGACAGCTCTTTGGATTCATAGTCCTGAGGTTCCGGGTTCAATCTCCGGTGGAGGCAGAAACAAATGGGCAGAGTTTTTCACCCTGTTTTGCCCCTGTTACCTAGTAGTAAATAGGTACCTGGGAGTTACAGCTGCTAAGGGTTGCTTCCTAGGGGTATGTAACAAAAAGGAGGCCTGGTTGAGGGCCGGGCCGCGGGGAAACTAAAGCCCCGAAATCATACTATAATATAGGTATGTATGTAAATAAAGGACAGAGCACACTAAAACGCTGAACACACCCTGAAGACAGGAACTTGTATCTGTCCAAAACTCCCGTCACTCACATGCATGTTGATTGAAGCAAACACTTCCTAAAACCCCCCAACTAAAAACCCAGTAGTGGTTTTTGTTTCTGATTTGCTTGTTTTCCACTGGATTTTTTATGGATTATCACAGTAATTTTGGTACATTTCCTCTTCATTTAGGCTGTCATCACTTGGATAGCTTCAACAGGTTAATTTGGTGCAAATACTGATTGTAAATACATTATTTGCTATTGGCTAACACTTTGCCACACCATTTGTGTTGAGACTGTTGAGTGTGTGTAGAATGGCAGAAGCCAGAACTCCTACATCCTTCCTTCTGCCCTCCCAACTGTTGCCATACCTTCCCATTCCATACACATTTTTCATACAGACGCCACACAGTTTCAAGTGTAGATATGATAGTCCAATAGGCTCAGGAATTTGTACATCAGTTGATTCCCAGCTGAGAGGTGGGACCAAAGAACCAAAGCTTAATTCCTGCAAGCACAGTTGGGAGAGTACAGTTAGGCGAGTACTGCAACTTCCCACACCCACTGCCACTTCAAACAATGTGTAGTCTTATTACTCATTATGGATGGGGTGCAGTGAGAAGCCCACAAAACAATCTTAGTAAAGTTTGTCAAATGAGGTAGGTGCACACAGCCAATGCAGGTAAATCTGCAGTAAGGCAGGGAGGGTGACTGTCATACAAGCTGCTTGTAAACAAAGCCATCATCTCGGCACAAAGTATGCCTTTGATGAAAATATGGTACTGTACTCATTATTCTTTTATACCTTCAGATAATATAAAATGTGGGAACTCTAGTTCAAAATTAGGGTTTGGTTAAATACTGTACTGTACTGAATCATGTTATTGGAATAAGTGCAGTAGTAATACATAGGTGAAGTTGCTCTAAGGTAAACGGACAATTCCCAGTCACAAAGTAGGTTATTTTTGTTCCAAGTGGAATGAAGTAATACTTTTAAAATTTTGGTGGACTGGCCTTTCTGCATATTCTTGAGCATAAACATTCTTGGCTTCCCATGCTGCTCCCAGGCTGCTCAGCCATGGAAAGTGTTTTTTTAAATCATTTCATGTTTTCTTAGTTATTTGTTGGCTTATAGCAATAAATTTGGTGTCAAAATGTTCTTAAATAAATTTAAATCTCTAAGAGAATAGATGTAAGAAAAAAAGTGTGCTTATAATTGTTTATATTCCTATCTGCACGTTCCCAAGTGTAAATATTGGGCACTTAGGCGGGTCCTGCTCAGCAATGAGCTGGATAATGTTGGGACAAAAAAACATTAAATGTAATGAAATGCCTCATTCTGGTAGATATCTAATAGCTCGTTGTAGCTATCTCATTGAGATTAATCCACTCTACGAGTCACATCAGTTGCACGGATTTATTTGGCCTGCCAGGAACCAGGGCCAAAACCACACGAGATGTTATAACTATAAATTACTTGTCGATGTTTGCAAATGAATAGAAAAGATGCAATAAAGTGTGTGTATAATAGATTATACATGACCGATGAATATATGAATTTTTGTGAATAGGAAATGGATGATGAATTTTAGCATCACCAGAATGCAGAAGTGTTAACTTAATACCAATGGTATGAATTGAAATGCAATACTAACCAAAATACTGTACTAACAAAAATATAAATGGCCAAAATTTCTATGCATGCTATGAGATTGACCACAAAGTTGGTTGTTTGTCATATAGTTATATTTAACATTTAAAAGTAGTTTCATTAGTATATTATGTATATAATATGGCAAGGAACATGGGTATCCACAGGAACTTCAGTGCAATATATATGAAGTTGTGATGTAACTTGCTCTTGGATGCAAGTGCTCTCAAAGTTGTTGTTGTTGGGTGTGTGATCAGGCATCAGGTCACTGTAGTTGTAGTTCTGGGGTGCTCTACAACACGGCATGATAATTTATTTTCAAATTGAATAAGTTTACATTGAGAACCTTGGAAAATACTGGTTTGGAAATATGGTTATAGATTTATAGAACACAGTATGGAACACAGTGGAACAATTCAGGTAGAGTAATGTAATATATATGGTTGATTGATGGGCTCAAGCATTGATTTGATAGATATATGAAGAAATGTAGTTGTAATAAATTGGAGCTAACTCACATGGACTCGTATACTTTTTGCTGTTTCCAATACTATCATGTTCTCATGATTATTGTAGCCATTTTGATACATGTATAGGTGTTCTAGATACTGTCATTACAATAGTAACTAACCAAAGTATGTATTCTCAGTGGGCGAACTTAGGGGAAAGTGGTGAAACCTCAAGCCAGGGTTACTGTGGAGACTTGAACCAGGAGTTATCCATGCAAGTTCATCCAGGGCCACAACATCAACAAGCACACCATCTGGTGAGTGTTAACCCTCACGTTATACCAAAGAGGTTGTCATCATGTTTGTAAATAATCACCCCAAGATTAGAAGACACAAGATTTATATGAGGAGGAAGGCATACGGAAAGATTTTCATAAGTTAGTGGGAATAAATGTTAATTCACTATAATCTCTTTGCTGTGGCACACTCGGTTTCATGTACCATAAATTTCAGCAAATCTCACGTAATAAATAACTAAAAGTCCCAGAGGAGTGCTTGGTACTGGTACAGTCAAGCCTGGTGTTCCAGTAAAACTGTCTACAAATGATGCAGTGTTGTCAGTAGACCAGCCTTCACCCGAACTGGAGTGTGGGGTACGAGCGGTACGTCTGGTACGTGTTCTAATAGCAGGCCCTACATGTGTGGTGGTATCAACATCGTCATCATCACTCCTCTCTCTTACAATTTCTTCCTCGCCTGCTGTTTTAGTTTTACCCACCTCACTATCTACATCACTGTCACTTTTGGCACTTTCAAGATCAGAAAATTCAACTAAAACCTGGAATTTTGTTGCAGTGAGTTTGACTTTGTTGTTCTACATAGCTTCTCCCTCACTTGTTTCTTTCCCCTGCTTTTGTCCTGGAATGGCTGTTCTTGATCACTATACATCTTGGAGTAAATGTAGTGTGTTTATAAAGGCAGTAACAAATATAGCAGAGATAAAATAGCCGGAGCGGGCACACATGTTGGGACGCGAGGGGAGGCGGTCATGAGCATACACACGATAACAATGGGCCTACCGTGTGGGAGGCGGAGCCATGATGCCACATGGGCGATCACAGAAAATGGGAAGACGTTGGCGCACCTTTTAAAACACATCCCATAATGACAAAAGAAAATGAAATTTTAACAAATATTTTAAATTTGGATGCATCATACGTCTCCGCTTAAGATCCGTAGATTTTTTACACACTATGCATCCCCACCCAGGCAAAGTGTTAAGATATGAAGACTAAACCATACACCAGAAAATGAGGAGACGACAACGTATCGGTCCGTCCTGGACGGACCGATAAAGTCGATTGTTATGAGACGAGGGAGGCACAGGCATTAAGTAAGGCAAGAAAGAGAGGAGGCAGAGGAAATCTTAGAGAAAGGCAAGAGCAAGGTGAAAGGTACCGAGGAATAGTTGTAAGGGGAAATAATTGGTGTAAGAATGGGAGGATAAGAAAAAGACAAATAAAAAGGAAAAGGAAGGGTAGGCTTATGTCAGGTCACGTTTATTAGAACGTTTAGAACATTTGAGTGTTTATTGTGAAAGGGAAGAGTCAACATCAACGAAGCCAGGACTAAGGTTCATGTTGGATAGGTTGTGTATCAGAGCCAATTCGACAAGATGGCGTCTGTGAAGAGATTATTTTATGATTATTTTAAGGAAGGAAAGATTATTTTAGAAGATCAATCAATAGGATAATTAAAATCCCTAACATAGCAGAAGGGAGCATTGTTTGTGTCTGCAGACTTAACTTCTTTTGTGTTCCTTAAGTCTGTCATTCAGTGTATGGCCAGTTTCCCCAAAGTATTGGAGAGGACAAGATGAACAGGAAATAGAGTAGACACCAGCAGCATTAGAAGCATTTTATAATTTTAGATTAAATACAGACCTTTGTAAGTTCTACTTTGGAAACAAGGTTGTTGATTTATGGAACTAATTATGGATGACATAGGTGTGGGACCACTGGATTGTTTCAAGCAAAGGTTAGACACAGTATCTGAGGGAGTTTGGTTGGCTGTAAATAGGAGCTGCATCATATGGACATTCTGCAGCTGTCTCTATTCTGATGTTTATAATGTACAGGGACAAACTTTGTGGTTGAACTTTGAACCCTTTAATTAAAATGTTTTTTCAATTGTTTTATTTGATTGGTAAGGGAGTGATCAGTATTTTTCCTGATGAAATATAGTACAGTATTGTTACAGCTATTGCTACAGCTTTGAGCTACTGGTTACCAAAATTTATTATATTACCATTTCTGTACTGATGACACCCTCTTTGGCACCTGTTTTTATTTTTTCAATTATGTGTTTGTTACTGTACGGGACACGTTCTGTGGAAACAGCAAACATGGATCTGTTAACTGAACAGCACTTTACGTGTCAACACTGTCAGCCCTATATTTTAAGTATCTAGAGGTATCCACTTGCCAGTAATCATAATTATAAAACATTTTTTGTGGTAAAAGTGTTTGCTCTCGAGAATTTTGGTAGGTCTCTCACCAGAAAGCAACTTTTTCCATTATTATGGTTTTTAATATTATATATTAAACTTCAGCAAGAGGAAAATCCAGGGTAACCTGCAGTTGGATAGCGACAACTATTACGTATATTTTCAGCTTGGCATTCCATACATTCTTTGTTTCATTTTTTAAGTTTATAAACTACTTATTTCCATTAACATGAGCAAAAACACAGATGTAAGAACAATGAGAAAAGGACTGAGAAATTCAGTCTTTTTATTAAAAGACTGAAAGAGACAGAAAAGAAAATGTTGCTTATTATTGGTCATGTATGTTTAACAACGATTTTATATTGTAACAATTCCTGTGATCATTTTGTTTGTGTTGGGGATTAATTGTTGCTTAGGCCAAATATGAAATGTTAATACTCTTGATAAGTATTGTATTGTACATAAGATAAATCTCGGCAATCCTGATTTTTTTTTCTTGATGTGAAAAGGCAAATTTTTGTTCTACTTTATCAAGAAATTCTTAATCATATTACAATTTGCACAGCATTTATAACAATAAGTATTGACTATAAACTCATGAAGAGCTCCACTCCAAGAGTGTGCACACCTTATTAATGCTGTGAAGAGCTGCATGTTTTGTTCAATAATGTGTGTGTGTGCGCAGTATATGTTATATCTTGTGTGAAGCTGCAAATTTACAACCCCTTTTCAAAACCTGGTTTATGGCCCAAAATAAAGTTTTGCTAAAGCATTATTGTGATGGGTACAGTTTGTCTAAATAGAAATACAGGTAATGCCGTGATATTAAAATGAAAAAAAAAAATAAAAATAAAAAACTGACATCTTTTTCATAATTACTCATGTTATTATTGTGAACTGGAAAGATGCCAGTTTGCACTGGGTACAGGATCTGGGTTTGAGTTCTGGCAGGATGAGACGATTAAGAAGTGATCCTTTTGGATGTGTTCACTTGTGTACTGAGCAGGAATTGTGGTCCTGAATTTAAAAAAATTGGCAGATCATATTTTTGGGAAGTCATTATCAAGTTGTTACAAGACTCGATAATGGTCCAGGATGGACTGAAATGTTGTAGTTTCATCATTTTCTGACTAGTTTGGTGATCTTTAAATAGGTTTCCTTTGTCCACTTTGTTTATTCCCTCTCCAAATTCTGAATGTTGTGATATCACCTCTGTTTTATCCTTCTAAGGTTTTGATGGAGAGTTCTCTCAGCCTGTCCTCATCGCTGAGGCCTCTTAATTCTGGTACTAAACTGCAAACCTCTGAACTTTCTCACGTTTGTTTATACTTCACAAGGGGTGGGTTCCATGCTGGTGATAGATATTTGTGTAATGGTTTCAGATGGGTAGGATATGTGTGTGTGTGTGTGTGTGTGTGTGTGTGTGAACTTGAAAGCCTCCTGGTTTAGATTTTTATATGTTCTTGTTTGCCAACTTCCCATATCTTGCTGATATTATCCTGTTCACATGAGCTTCTGGTGTTAATGCTGGGATTATGTGACTGATACAATGACAGACTGATACAATGTCATACTGATGGCACATACACTTGTCAGTTGGAACATATTTGTTGCAACAATGAGGCAGCTTCTATTTCCAGTGATCTTGTTGGTAATTTGATCATGTGAATTGTGACCATATGTTTAGTGATATGGTCACAAAATTCCTTGGTGTAAACTATGACCACGACAATGTCGTGGCACAGTCAACTAAGGCGCGTCTGGGATTATCCCGGACATTGGTTTGAACCCCTTATCACGTCCCTTGTGGATTTGTTAATTTGATGTATTACGTTATTGTGATTTTTGTGTGTAATAGCCGTGATGCTTGTTGTACTCTGCACCTTCACTGTTTCACTGGCAGTAACACTCTCCAGAGATTTTAAAAAACAGCAAATCGGTGGTATCCATGTGTGTGTGTATTTACATGCAAAATGTGTGCTATTTGCAATTACTGTACAAGATTTAGGCTCATGAAAATTGGTATGAATAAATATAGGGTGTGCATATATTTATACACATCTGTACATACACATACCGTATTTCTAAAGTTATACATAATAAATCGTACTATTGACCCATCAATACGACATGTAAGCACAAAAAAATAGTGAAACAATGAAAATAAATGAAGAGTTATTTCTGTATGGAACTCCACCCCATCGCTGACCGCCTGGTGACCATGATCTAGCCGTCGTCCCACCCAGCTACTGAATTCATACAACTTCTCCGGGCCACTACAGCTAAACCAGAATAGATTTGGATTTTCATGCCTTCTGGATGCTAATTTACAATCTGAAAACAATTTTCTTTTGATAATTTTTTCTTGCATATGATAATGCACATCTGCACAGTTAGGAGGTTAATAAATATCTTTGCAGTCAAACTGTGTACAGTGTTGGAAATATATCCCTGCATAGATTCTAGTGAAGGCTAGAGTATGTGCAGATGATGAGTCGCAATAACATGGCTGAAGACATGATGACCAAACCACACATCAGAAAATCGAGGAACGACTATATTTTGGTCTGTCATGGACCGAAAACGTGTCTTGATAATGGTTCAGGACGGACCGAAATGTCTCTATTTTCTGCTGTGTGACTTGGTCATCATTAAAATGTGTGTATAATTTTACAAATCTTGTGCTAAATCTACAAAAGAAGTAATTCCCTAATGAAATTAAATAAAATTTGCTATTCGAATTGCACTACATCTTTGTAAATGCTGGAATTCAGTGTGTCATTAGTATTACATCATATGTTAGTGAAATCA